GCAGCTAGATGTGTTCCTTCCAGGGTTGGCTTTTTACAGCCGTTACAGGAGTAAAGTGAGCTGAAACAAGGCCTCTTGGGATTTCAGAATGATAAATCTTGGACACCAAGACTCAGGAGTGACTTTGGATCTTGTCACGAGAAAGAGGTTCATGGCCTCTGTGGCTGGTGGCATCAGGACTACCTTAAGCAGCCCTACTTGGGGACCCATCTTTGTTGCTCCAGAGTCAGAGTCATACAGCTCCATGTACCACAAAGACCTTAAAGCCTGGGCAACAACAGCAAGCACCACTGGTGCACGACTCTGAAACTTTCACTTTAACCCAAACCTCAGTGTCCTGATGTAGAGAGAACTCACTACCTCAGCCAGGGCTCAGGGAGGTGAATGAGGTCACAGGGCTGGTTAGCCACAGAGCTGAGGCATGAACTCAGGACTCCCAGCCTCAAATCCTCAGAAGTGATATTGTTACTTCTGCCTTTTCCTTCAGGGTAAAAGCTAAAATTGGACTGAAAAATCCTGCTACCTTATCTCCTTTGCTGTAAGGCATGTTAGGTCTTACAAACCTGAATTAAAGTTAGGGTGTGGCAAAGTTCTGAGAACAATGGCTGCTGCTATAGGAACAATGCCCAGCCTTGCCCTCTCTACCTCCTCCTTGAGACAGGCTCAGCCAGCCAGTGAGAAAACGGATGGGTGTCAGGCAGCCCCTTCACAACAGGATCTGAGGGCCCCATGGTAGATCTCTGATCCCACAATCCCCTGCACCCCATCCCTTGACTTCTGGCCTGAAAGACCTAGTGATCAAGTTCTAGAAGGCTTTTCAGCTGTTCACTGCTGACTATACTTTAAAACATACTCCCTTACGAGAGGATACCCGATACCATTGGGAAGACAATGGAGTTAGGTATCAGAGGGACAAGAAGTCACCCTCAAAGGGACAAAAAATGAAAGCTGAGATACAAGGGCAGCCAGGCCTGGGGGTTGGTCAGTAAGTTACCGCAAAGAAAGGAGTTTCCACAAACATGCACTGAAGTCATGGGACCTTGAAGATGAGTACAAAAGCTCCAGTGCTGCCTGGTGCCCAAGGATTCTGGGTCTGCCTGCTCACATGAAATATGGGTTTGGGCCACTGGTACACTTTCCTGAGAGGGTAACTTGCCTTTTATGCACAGTCAGTAGTCTTCCTTGCTTGGTTGGTATGCTAGGGGCTGAGGTCTCCTAGTGGTTGGTGCCCTGTAGGGAAGTCCACACCAACCACACAACATTGATCTCTTTGGGTCTCCCTTTTTGGTTCCTATTATGTCTCCCCTACTTCAGAACAAGACATTTCCAGTGACTCACTTGGAAGCTTTGTGGGAAGAATGACTGGACTCTCCAGTACCATGACCCCAGTGCCAGGGCACAGAAATCAGATCACAGAATGTGCACATGGGTAAACCTTTCCCACTTTTAAGTGACCATTGAAAAATGACCTTACTTCCCTGGACTTCATGTTGTGGATTCATTTTCCAACAGTGAGAACTATACTATTAGAAGATCTCAAAGTGTCTTTTAACCTCTGATAACCTGTGTTTCCTTGGTGTAGAAGCTTCACTTTCCTTGGGACTTATGACTCTCTCTTTTTTTTTTTATTCCTCACCTGAGGATATGTTCATTGATTTTTTTAAAAAAGAGAGGAAAAGAGGAAGGGAGAGAAAGAAACATTGATGTGAGAAACACTGATTGGTTGCCTCCTGTATGCACCCTAACTGGGGATCGAACCCACAGCCTTTTCATGTACGGGATGATACTCCAACAAACTGAACCACCTGACCAGAGCATGTCTCTCATATCTGAATATATCACCTTGCAAAAACTCTTTGGTAAATATTTAATGAAACTCGCCAGGACCCTGAATTACAGAATGAGTTGGCAATCAAAAACAAGAATGTCCCATATCGAGCAGACAGTAAGGTGGGCTATTTATATCAGGTAAGAGAAGGCTCAGGGAAGGAAGATACAGACTTCTTCCAGGAGACCCACAGGCAGAACCAGCTGTGTCAGGGGGACAGGAGAAGAACTCATACAATAGAGACATTGTAATAGGGAGTAAAATCTGGACAAAGGTGGAAAGAGTGCAAACTCAGGCACCAAGTTTGTAGTGACCATGTACAAAGGTCTGGATACCGTTGTAGGAGTGAGGTGCAGGTATGAAGGAGACAGACACATATCCCCAACTCTAGGGAACTCACTTTTGAGGAGAGGAAACAGAAGGAGATGACTTTTAAGAATTAATGTCCGGTGGAGAACACACAATACAACATACAAGTGATGTATTATAGAATTATACACCTGAAACCCATATAATTTTATTAACCCATGTCACCCCAATAAATTCCATAAAAAATTTAATGCCCTATTTATACTGTAAGGGATTTGGAGAAATGTACAAAGATACACTCAACTCCAAAGGATAAATATAAATGATTTTATTTTCCTGACAACATCTCTTTAGATAAAATGGTGTGTAAGGCTAATCTTTTAAAGTCACTCAGGGTCGGCTTATGGCCTGGCACCAAAGCATAACTAGGCCAAGGCAGTTGCAAAAAGGACCCAACTAAGTCCAAGTGTGCAGTGCTTTGCATCATGGCAATTGATTCAGATACTAAGTAAAAGCTGCAAATGGGCTGGGGACTAGATTGGGCCCATGAGAGATGTTTTGTGTGGCATTATTCCCAATACTCTGACAGGAGGGCTATGCTGCACAATACATTACAAGTCTGTTCACCTTATTTGTATCACCTGCGTAGCCCTGGAGGGCATCAGATTTTGGATGTCTCAGAGTGGACTGAGGGTCCACCAAGAATCCCCAATGGATTTTTCACAAAGGCTTTTTGAAAACAATTGGATTAGAGAGTTCAAAGTAATTTTTGGCAAGAGTCTCACTCCCTATTGTAGCCTCCCTGAGCCCCTTCCTTTCAGGCCTTCCCTTTCAGCTCATCCTGCACACTACTGCCAGATAGTTTCTCAACTCAGTTTTTATCAAGTCAATCCCCTGCTAAAAACCCTTCTTGCTTCCAGTTGACTATAAGGTTTCCAAATTCATCCTCAACTAACCGTATTTCTTCTCCACACTGAACTCTGATTCCTGACTGAACCACAGACATCCTACCCGGGAGTCTGGATTTGCCTTCAGCTGACCACTGAGAATATGCTTTGATCATAAACAGAGCAGAGGGTAGAGTTAAGGTCTGTAAAAATTGAGATATGCACCAAGAGTAAAGGAGGTTCAGGAAAGTACCTTGAGTCAAGGACAAGACCTTTTTAGGGAATATCCTTAGAACTTTGTGACTGGACATGTTTAGGCTGGGATGAGGGATATGGGTCAGGAAAGTAAGGGGTAAGTAAAAAATGAGATTTTGAAGCTGAATGACTAGGAAACTGATGCATAAAAAGTTTGAAGTGGGGGATGGATATTAGGAGGAGGCTGAATTTGGTTTTAGATATAAGTGTGGAGTGATGGTGAGACATCTAAGTGGTGACGTTCACTATGCATTTGGGACTTCAGATACAGAGCTAAAGAGAGAACAAAAACAAAAGCTTGCTCTCTCTCTCTCTCTCTCTCTCTCTCATGCCCATGCCTTTACCCTTCTCCATCCCCTAGGTGCATTCTCTCTGGCTATTTCCTAAGCTCCAAGGGCACTTCTCTTGTCTCTGTAACTTGTTTCTTGAGCCCATGCAGCTCAGCTGGCTCACTTCTTCCATGCTCACTTCTTTTACCTCTGTGGCTTTCTCAATAAACTTTTGCTTGTATGTGTGTGTGTGTGTGAGAGAGAGAGAGAGGGAACAAACCCAAGAAGGAAATGGGGGAGGTCGGGGGAGGGAGACCCAAATAGTAGTGAGAGCTAAGCTAGAGTCAGGAAAACTAATGAGTTCTCAAAAGAGGTAAGAAGCATGGTGGCAAAGCTCTTAGTCTGGGGATTGCAGGGAACTCAGAACAGGTACAGAGGAATAAGAAGGAACAGTGGGAGAAAAGGCAAAGCCTTTCACAGCAACCATAGACAAGAAGATTCAAGAAGGAAGAATGGCCAAATCAGTCCAATGCCACAGGGTAAGATCAGGAAGAACAAAGATGAAGGTGAAAAGCTGTGGCTGGGCAGCAGGGAGGTCCTATGTAACCTCTGCGAGCCTGGCATCATGAATGTAGTTGAACCAAATGCCAAGAGTTAAGAAAAATGGTTACAAAGGAAAGGAAACAGTAGGCATGGGTTATTTGTTTGTTGACCCCTTGCTTAAAGCCCTTCAGTGACTTCTCATTTCTCTTAGGGAAAATTATAATATCTTTATTGTCCTACAAGGCTTTGCACAGTTGTCCCCTACCGCTATTTCCATCCCCACTGATATTGTACCCCTTAAGCACTGCTTAAACCAGCCTGTGATGCAAGAGATCTTAAGCCTCACTTGTCCTGAGTGAGTCACAATGAATTCAATAGACAATCTAATGGGGGGCGTGGGGCTGTAAGAATACCTATGACCAAGAAGCATATTCTTTGGGAAAAGTAATTTTGAATAAGGAAGGGTGTTGGGGATTTCTTTTTTAAAAATTGATTTGGCTGCAAGGGAAAAAGATTGCCTAAACAAAATCTGCTGATGAAGTCACAAGATGATTCCATCTCTGGAATAAGCTTCATTTTCCTATATTTTGTAATAAATTTGGCTTCAATTGGAAATTTAGTCACTCTACCCACTCAAGGGCAAAATGATAAGGTTCTATCAGACCAAGCGTCTAAATGAACTTGACACTCATTTAGGTTCCAAAATGAGTCAGAGGTCAGGAAAATGTTGTTGCCCATCAAGTTTGTTTTGACTTGTCCGCATGAGTCAAATTTGTCTTGTCTGAGTGTTCAATTATATTATAAAAGGAAGGACAGCTCTCTACAATACAGCATTCTCTGAAGCAACAGGAGTCCTAGATGTACCTTTTGGAGGATTCTCTAATTTTTCAGCCTCTTTGATTCCCACAGGACTTTAGCCCGCTTGCCTTCAGCCTGAGGAACACAGCATGGTTTTGGAAATGCTGAACCCAATGCACTGCAACATCACCAGCATGGTGCTCGATGCTGTGCCCATTGCTACCATGTCAGTCCTGCTGCTCACTGGGCTCCTTCTTTTGGTTTGGAATTATGAGAACACCTCCTCAATCCCAGGTGAGTCGTCACTGAGTTTTGCATCTGAGGAGACTGTTTACTTGGGCTTGTGGTTTATGAAGGAAAAGAAAATTTTGTAAACAGACACAGAGTAAACCTGAGGAGATGGCTGAAGCCCACAGCAACAATAGCAAATGAAGACTCAGGTGAACATTTTTATATTAATAATCTGTACATTTTAAGTGACAGTATTTAAAAAATATTTTAGATAATCTTTTCTATTCTGTGCTTAGCTTTGGTACAGTAGACATGGCACAAACCTTTTAAGGTAAATTTGAGACAGGAAGGAGCAAGGTAAAATTCCTGGAGTTTTTGTTTGGTTGTTGGATTCAAATTCATTCCAATTTTGCTCTGAAGGTGAAAAAGTCTCTGGAATGCCTTCTCTACTCCTGTCTCTCCTCTCCCCACTTTGCCTCATGCATGCCTTCTCCCTGGTTTCTCTTTATCCCACTCTTCATTTTCTTATATATTTGGAGTGGGGGTGACTGGATGAGACCTGGGCAGTGGAAAAGGAATGGGGGGGGGTCACTAAAATTCCCTTGGAATGCCACACCCTGATAGAATCTTCAACAAGATCTGTGGGTCAATCAGAAGTAGAGTATAATATAATTACCTAGATAAATTCAATAGAAATCCCCACCACTCTACCACTATCAGATTAATTCAGAATGAATCAGAAATATCAGACTAGTTCTTCAGTGTTCAGTGAAAATTCCTCATGGCAGGCATCTGTCCCCAATCACAGAAGATATACGGTAAGGCTGTGTTTCAGGAGCACTGTCATCTCATACTTCCCAGTGCGGGGGACCCCATCACAGTGTGATTTGGAGTGGGAGTGTGGGGCTGGTGCAGAGTGCCCTGTGTCGGGGCTCTTTAAGAATTTTCAGAGAACTGTCTGTCTCTCTACCTGATTCAGCCTGGTATTTTAGGTTATTTCAATGTCCAATTTATCAGAACATTTAGTTAATTTTGTTCTCTGCTCTCTGATGGGGTCTGAGAGAAGATTCTTCCATGGTCTTTAACTTGAAATCCTTTCCTACTGGATTTCTTCTTCCCCAGTGGGCTCCCAGGTCAGGGTCCATGAATAGTGGAGGTGAGGTGGGTGCACTTTAAACAAGTCCCCCCAGATGTTTATGCTGAAGGTGGTAGTAGAAGGTGGACCCCTGAGTGGGGATGTCAGTCTAGGGGGACAAGCATGAGAACAGGTATCCATTCAATCAGATCTCCATATTTCAATCTTTTTAAGAACTTAATGTAACAATTTTCTATAAAGTCAGTCATCTACTTAGAGTGTTATTAGAACAATCACAAGATTAAGAACACTTTGAAAATGTTTTCATTCTATATATATATAAACAAAGTCCTTTACATTAAAGAAAAAAAGCTAACAGTCTTGTTCACATTAATGTAGCTACTACATAATTCGCTACACTATGCAGCTAATTATTAACATAGTTAACATAGTTAAACTAAACTTTGCTGAATTTGGAACTAAACATCTAATTCATCTGATTCAAGAAAAAGCTTACATTATCTAGATTATTACTACACAACTCTTGCCCATAAAGTGAGAGCACTGCCTCACACAGTTGTGCATGTTTTGGCTTTATAACTATTTCACTGAGAGAATGGACTGAAAGGAGAAAGATTTAGAAAAGCTACTACTTTACAAATAAACTCCTAAAACCATTCCAAAAAGCTTTTGTCTAACTTTTCACCACCACTGGTAAAAGCAAGCTACCAAATTTGGTCTCCGATATAAACAAGATCAGGCTCCCTAGTTGTTCACTAGAGTTGTATCTTTAAAATTCTGTGTGCATCTGCGTGAGCAAGGACAACAGTATCTGAGCAAAACCACGTACGTCACTGGACTGAAACTCTGGTCTAAACACTGGTCCCACTCGTCGTCTAAATCAAGTCTTAGCTTTATTTTGCCTAATGAGATTTATCTTAAGATTCTTTTCTTAACCTAAGGCCTTTGGTGAGGGAGGGAGGTAAGGATGTTCTTTGTACATTATCTTTGCAGACCAGGTTCTCTCAGTTAAAAAGATTACACTAAAACTACAAATTAATTTTAACCTACCCATTAGGTCAAGTGGGGGATTTAAACTAAAAGTTTTCAGACAAAAGTAGGCAGCCAAATAGATTTGTCAACTTGTCACTTTTCCTGGTTTCTATGCTTGTAACTAGACAGGCTGATGGACTTGTATTTGAAACTCATTTACACCATTTAGCATGACAAGAGAATATTGGACACATACCCTTGTTCATTCAGACTGAAATGACTGAGGTTGAATGGAACTAGTGTGGTCTGGACAATGAATTAGATTTTATTCATAGAGAGGTAAAGAGTTTCTAGTCAAACTTACTGGTTTATTTTAAAAAAACTTTAAAGTCATTCACAGATATACATCAGAAGATGTGAAAGAACACTTAGATATAAAAGAACAAGAACAGCAGCGACAGAAAGCAGTTGCTCTTTTTGGTGTCACCAGAGTGCTGACTGTGATTTGATGATTTTCCTAGGTCCCGGCTACTGTATGGGAGTTGGGCCCCTCATTTCCCACTTCAGGTTCCTGTGGATGGGGATTGGCGGTGCCTGCAACTACTACAACAAGATGTATGGAGAATTCACGAGAGTCTGGATTGCTGGAGAGGAAACACTTATTATCAGCAAGTAAGTCTGTTAACAGTCAGAGCTCAGTCTTTAAAGAAAAAGCTGGGGTTTTTCCTATTCGAAACCAAACAAACTTATTTTGACATCTTGGCATCTTTGTTCATAAGGCCATGTTTGTACTCCTTCAGTGAAAGGGGGGCATTCTAGGTAGCAACCTAACACTGTAAACAAGTGGAAAAATGGGCTTTGCCTGAAGAAAGAGATTCATACATAAAGAACTCTGGGAAAGCTGGGTAAGTATTCTTCAAAATTTCTCTAAAGAATATACAGAATCCAGATAGTTTGGTTTTGAAAACAACACACTTTAGAGAGTGACATTTTCTTTTCTGCTTTCCTAAGACTTTGGTCTTATCCCACAAGTGGTGTCATCCTACAAAGCAAAAGGTTGCCAGTTCAATTCCTAGTCAGGGCACATGCTTGGGTTGAGGGTTTGTTCCCCTCATACAAGAGGCAACTGATCAATGTTTCTCACATTGATGTTTTTCTCCCTCCCTTTCCATTTCTAAATAAATAAATAAACAAATGAATGAATGAATGAGTGAGTGAATGGATGAATGAATCATGCCTGAAACAAAAATCTGACTGTGCCAGTTTGCTAATGTGTTCCTAGTGTCAGGCTGCTGGGCACCTGTTGAAGGGTAGACAGTAGAACAAGAAGCCATCCACATGACACTATCCTATTCATGACTGCATGCCAGTGTCCTAGCTGAGTGATCCTAAATAAAGCAGGAACAAGACTGTCTATTAAAAGAAATCATAATTTTTAGCAGGATGAATTCACTGGAGGATTAACTAAATAGGCATTGATTATACAGAACTAGCTTTATGAAATTCTAGTTTTCTTATTTAGTAATTGTAGAAAATGGAGAACTTCAGAGGGAGTATATTTGACTAGACTTTCAGGTATCTTTACTAGATTTTTAGCAAAATTATCTACCAACACTGTCTCATTAGTGAATTTTTATATTTAGAATCCCTAATGGGGCTTCACTCAAAAACTAAGGCTGACTAAGGTTTTACTGACTGATTATTGCCCATAAGTAAAGTATTTCTGGGAACTACCTTAATTTTTTTTCAGGCCAAGATTACATTCATCATTTCATAAAATACCATGGTATCCTCAAAGCCTAGTTCTTTGAACCAAATATGTGAAAGAAGGAGGTGAAAAAGAAAAATGTGTTATCCTTACAAATATTTTGAACTATCCCGTAATGTTATTTTGGACCAATCCAACACCTCAGGTTTTGCCTGGGTTTTTTCTGCTTCTTAAGTTTGCTGTTGTTGCACTTTTGAGGCAGACCATGTTTATAAACTAAGTATAAACAGCTAAAGGTGGAAATGTCATTTCATTAGGTTTATTGTGAAACCACTGTAATGTAATGTTTCTCAAAATGTGGTCGCTCCACCAATGCATCAACATACTTAGGAGCTTATTAGAAATGCACATTCTTGGATCCCACCCTGCCCCACTAAATAAGAAAGTCTGGGAGTGGGGCCTACTGATGTGTTTTCACAAGCCCTCCAGGTGATTTCTGAGGCACACTCAAGGTTGAGAACCATGCTGCCATGGCTGGACCACGATTACTCTTGGATTTCACTTCTCTTGGGCTACTGAACTCTGGTCAGCCAAATGTAAGTGAATTTTTTATGTTCTCATTTTAAAAATCAATACTCTACTCACCTTTGCAACTGGCTGCCATCTCCAAAATGTCCTGGGACTGATGACATTTGGGCTTGAGGGATTGGAACATTCGTTCCTGCTCTCGAGTCCCCCAGCACAGCGAGTGGCCTTCCAGCCCTGGAGGCAGTGTCTGCCCTCCTTGTCACCTATTTCTCCCAGTGGACAGGTGAAATGTAGAGCTCTCCAGGTGGTTCCAATGTGCTGAGGTGCTTGAGAGAGGAGAGAAGGTCAGAAGCTTCCAGAACAGGCAGGCCTTTCCCTGGGCTAAAGGAAACAGCTAAATGGAGCTGGAGTGGGGTTTTGTCTCACCGTGTTACCCTTAGGTCTAGCTCAGGGGGTGGTATTGTTAAGATGAGACCTGAAGTGAAGAATGATAAATGTGAGGAAGGACCAGGGGGCCAGAATAGAAATCACTCTCAGATTCTAGATGCTTAAACCACCAGATAAATTCCCTGGAAGCCCAAAGCCAGTTCCTGAAGGAGGACCCTCATTACAGTGAGGGGTGGGCTGCATGTGACCACTCTGCTCTCTTACTTAGGAAAGTCACCTTAGCAACCTGCCCAAGTCAGGCGCTGATTCACGCTGGGGAAGTGGACACAACCCATCCTGCCCTTCCCCCAGCTCTCCCAGTTCTTTCACTATCTTGTCCTCATAGGCTTTTCACTGGTTGGAGTCTTTGTGTTCTTTTTAATGGCCTCTGAGCCACTCAATTTTGTTAAGGGCTGAGCCCCCCTGCAGAAATAGGACATGTTTGTCCCTATCTCCTTTCCTTGCCTGTTCCTCAGGTCCCTTCCAGAACTACCTGTACCTCTTAAGAAGACCCCATTGGGTCTTAGAAAGCTTTTTATTTTCTTTTGAACAGTTTGCCAGATCTTTTTTCTTTTGTTTTTTTTTTTAGGTTTTATTTATTTATTTTTTAGAGAGAAGGGAAGGGAGGGAGAAAGAGAGGGAGAGAAACATCGATGTATGAGAGATACATTGATTAGTTGCCTCTCACATGCCCTCACCTGGGGACCTGGCCTACAACCCAGGCATGTGCTCTGACTGGGTGTCAAACCAGTGACCTTTCAGTTCACAGGCCGGCACTCAATCAATACACTGAGCCACACCAGACAGGTGTGGAGATCTGTAATCACTGTAACTATGTAGAGATTATGGCCCAACTTTTCTAACCAATTTAGTCCTGAAGTGGTGAGGGATGCAGAACTTCAGAGATGGAGGTGGGGTTGGGGTGGGCTGTGGAGAAGGGCAGGCAGGAGCGCTGCTGGGATGTGGCCTGAGCATCTCCAGGCTTTGGGGGAAGGCCCAGCTAATCATCAGTAGATAAAGCATGCACAATTCCCAGAGCAGGCACGTGCTAAATTAATGAGGGTCTACAAAAGTTGTGCATGATACTATGCAGCATGTATATATTATTTTTCATCATGAATACAAAACAAAAGAATGTGGCTAGCATCCATAAAGCAGAATAAGCAATTGACATGCTAATTAGGGTCATATTTGCACATATGTTAGCAATTAACATACCAATTAGGGTTATAGTAGTACCTGTTTTAATATGTATAAATTTATAGGGAATTTATTTATTCTTTATTTTTTCATTTCTTTTTTAAATTGTTGTTCAAGTACAGTTTTCTTTTTTTTTAAGATTTTATTTTATTTAATTTTAGAGAGGAAAGGGAGGGAGAAAGCGAGAGAGAGAGAAACATCAATGTGCGATTTCTGGGGGTCATGGCCTGCAAGCCAGGCATGTACCCTGACTGGGAATCGAACCTGCGACACTTTGGTTCACAGCCCGCGCTCAGCCCACTGAGCTACGCCAGCCAGGGCTAGTTTTCTTTTTTATTTATTCTTTAAACACATTGGGAATTTACTATATACTAAGTTATAATCATTATTGGTTCTCCACTTATGCATTAAATAAATAGTTATTGAGAACTCATATGTACACTGGGTATCATGAACAAATCAGCCAAAAACTCCCTACAGACATAGAGAAATATATTGTCATATTGTTGATATACCAAAAATAAGTAAAATGTATAGTGTATCAGGAGGCTGACCAACCATCTGTTTGCCTGGGACTATAGGTTTCCCAGGATGTGAGACTTTTAATGCTAAATAAAACTGGGACAGCCCCAGGCAAACCAGACGGCTCAGTGAGCAGGGACACAGTGCAGGGGGCTTGGCAGCTCAGTCTGAGGCTTTTCCCTGACATGCAGTTAACACATAAACAATGGCTGCTAGATTCTGATTATGAATTTGGGCCCGGTTAACCACAAGGAGTCCTTCTTGGCAGATGTATTTCTTCTTGTGGTCCACGAGACCCTCTACCATAGTCAGAGACTAGCGAAGGAGGCTAGCTAAAGAAAGGTGAACCAGGACAGTATGGTGGTCTCAAAGCCAGATAACAAACATACATCAGGGACAGGGAATTGTCGATCATGCCATGTAAATACAGAGATTGGAATGTCACATTTATAGCAATAGGGAGGTCATGGGTGACCTTGACATGACCATGGTGGGGAGAGGGAGTGGTAGAGGCAAAAGTCTGGCTGGATTAGAGAATGGAGGGGAAGAAGAATTGGAGGCATCAGGCTTAAATAACTTTTCCAAGCAGTTTTCCATAAAGTACGAATTTCGGAGAAACAGAAGGGAAGATTGAATATATGAGCACAGATCCTGGTGGGTGGAGCTTGCAGAGATTTTAGTTGCTTCTGTTTCCTTTAGTAAAAGTGGAAATAAAGTCTTTAGTCGATATTGAGCAGGGAGGAAGTGGAACATTTAAAGAGAGAGGAGGCAGGATATAATAGTCATCTAGAAGAGTGAATGAGTGAGTGGCCTGGAGAAATGCAATAGAATTGCCAGTGGCACTAAGGGCCCACTTAAAGTCAACTGAGACCTGGCAGCTGGTGGGTGTCTGAGGGGGTGGGGGTGAGGGTGGGGGGTCGTGTTCCCAGCACCATTCAGCTGCCAGGTATAAGCAAAGAGTAGGCTAAGAATTGGATTTAGCCAGGGTTGAGATAACTAAGCAACTATGACAAAGTAAGGAGAGGGTCAAGGGAGCTAAGGGTACATGGAAGGGAGTGATTTTAATGATAGACAATAACATAGTTTTTCAAACTTCCTATTGAGAAAACGTTCAAATGAACAGGAAAGTTAAAAGAGTAGTCCTCCCACTCCCTCCTCACCCCCACCCCCGCCACAACATTGACCTTATGAAGAGACCAGGTCAGTTGTCTTGTTGGATGCTCCACATTCTGAATTTCTCGTTATTTCATTATAGTGTCATTTAACATACTCCTCTGTTCCCTGTATTTCTTATAAATGGAAATGTAGTCTAAGGCTTAATTAGATTCAGGTTAAACATGTTTGTAATAATACTTCCTTAGTAGTACAGGCACTGCATACTGCTTCACATCAAGAGGCAAGGAAAGGCTGTCTGTCCCACTATTAATGGTACTAAATTTGATCACTTGGCTGGGGTGGTTACACTCAGATCTCCCTTTTAAAAAGACATTTTGTCCCTTTCAATGACCCCAGTTTTTAAGGTGGGTAAGTGAGGATATTAGAAGGGCAACGACAGTAAGAATGTGATAGGACTGATGGAACATAAACTTCAGGCACAGAACAGGTCCAAACAAAGCAAGTATTTCTAAATGTTGGGGAATAGCTATTCCGTTAATTGTCTTCTCCATATGTCTAGTACTCATCACTCTTGAAACTGGCCACAGCTATGTAAGTCCTTTAAACTCAGAATGGCAGAGGGAGGGGGACACGGTGCAGGGGGGTGGCTTCCTCCTTACCACTTAAGAACTTACCTCCTGGCTCCTATCCACTTTGAACAGATAATAGGTTTCCTATCTTTAGGGTATCTTTTGACTTCAGTTATGTTTATTCTTTTATTTTTTTCTTTTATTTTCTACTTTTTATCTTTATTTTACTTTAATTTTGTTTAAAGGAGAACAATGACACCAGTTACCAGACAGCTAATGCTGCCCACTATTCCATCTGAACCTGGGGACTCCCTTTCTCTCCTCATGACAAAGCTCTGGGCTTGTTCTTCACCAGCCTTTTCTTCTTCACGGTCCCACTTTACTCTGGTTTGATAAAGCTGGCCTGCTTTTGATAAAAGACCTGGTCGAAATTGCTTGCCTGGACTGTGCTTGCTGTATTGCTTCAGTCTTGGCAGCTTTGTCCTTCGCCAAGGCTGAGCTTCTGACTCAAAACAACTGAGATGTTGGTGCCCCCTAAAGGACACATTGATTTTATTTTTATTATCATTTTTTCATTTTTAATTTTTTTAATTTTAATTGTTGTTCAAGTACAGTTTTCTGTCTTTTACTCCCACCCCAGCCCACGCCCCCAGGCCTCCCCACCTCCCTCCCATTTCCACCCCCCTTAGTTTTTGTCCATGTGTCCTTTATACTTGTTCCTGTAAACCCTTCCCTTTTCCCCTGAAATTCCTTCCCCTCTCCCCTCTGGTCACTGTCAGCCTGTCCTCTATTTCAGTGTCTTTGGTTCTATTTTGCTTGTTTGTTTGTTTTGTTGTTTAGGTTCCTGTTAGAGGTGAGATCATATGGTATTTGTCTTTCACCACCTGGCTTAAAAGTTAGATCTTCATTAGCATTCAGCTGGGTTTCAGTTTGGGGCTTCTTGTTCTCTTTTCCAAATTGACTAGTAATTCCTCAAAATACATGGACAGGACAATGTGGTTAACGCAGTATACAGAAGCTCTGGGGTCAGAGCAGAAAACTAGTGTCCTGACTGTCTTCTGAGCACTAACCATTTTTAGATACAAATTTGTGAGTAAAGAATATACAAATTACTTATTTCCTGCTTTAATTATAGAATAAGGTAGGGGACAGTAAGAAAAGCTAAGAATTCTAAAACCTATTAATAAGAATTTCAACCTTCTCTATGGCATGATTTTCTATACAGGACAGAATTTTAGCTGTTTGTCAGACCAATTAATTCCCTGAAATATAAATAGAAGCATCTGGGTTTTTTGTTTGTTTTGTTTCTAGGAAGAGGGGAAACTTGTTGAAAACTCAGGATCAGTTGATGAATATTATCTGAAATCAAATCAAGAGAATATTTTACTTAACACAGAATTCATATAATAATTCTGTTTTCATTTCTTGGTACTGCCATTATTTCAGGGGCTTTCTTTTAAAGTTTAAATAGGACTGTGAAATCCATCACACAAATGTGCGGGTTTGGCTAATACTTAGCCCAGAGTTTAATCCGCTCAGCCAGCGGAGAGCTTCTGGCCCAATGTCTTGTAGGAGAATGTGTTTTTCTCAGGCATTAACAGAACGAAACAAAGGCAAAATCATTCTTTTAGGAACCAAGTATCAACTTTGAAAGGGAGAAGTAGGTATTAAGGTGGCCAATCCAGCCCAGTGTAAGAACCAGGCTACACAAGAATGGATTGCATGTACTATAGCTGCCGCACACCACCTTTGAGGGTTATGTGTTCAGAAAACCCCCACAGTAAGAGAATTTGCAGCTGAGAAACAATGTTTCAGTGGGGAAGTGAGGACAAAGAGCCAAAGTTACAGTGAACACATAAAAACTTGAATAAATACATTAAGTTCACCAAAATTTTAAAAAATTAATGACAAAAATGAAGATAACATCAATTCTTCTGAAATTTTGAATTCAAAAGGAAAAATGCTGAAATTACAGTTATCTTTCCAGTGCCATAAGTTAACAACTAGGCAGTCTTTTTTTTTAAGATTTTATTTATTTATTTTTAGAGAGAGGGAAAGGGAGGGAGAAAGAGAGGGAGAGAAACATCAGTGTGTGAGAGAAACATTGATTGGCTGCCTTTCTCTCGCCCCTATCTAGGGACCTGGCCCACCACCCAGGCATATGCCCTGACTGGGAATTGAACCAGTGACCTTTTGGTTTGCAGGCTAGCACTCAGTACACTGAGGAACACCAGCCAGGGCTAAGAGGTCTTAATAAAACATCTTTTCATGAGTCTCTCTCTACAGATGAATTCCATATTGCTCTTCTAAGAAGATAACATTCTCTTCACATGTGTATGTCACTATGACTCCTTCAGCTAGAATTTTATTATTTTATTGTATTATTTTTTAATTTTTTCCTTTTTATCAAATTTATTGGTGCTGATGTTGGTTAATAAAATTACATAGGTTTCAGGTGTACAATTCTATAACACATCAGCTGTATATTGTATTGTGTGTTCACCACCCCAAGTCAAGTCTCCTTCCATCACCATCTATCCCCCCTCTCTTCTACCTCTTCCCAGAATTTTATAACGTTTTAAAACTGTCAGTGCCTCATCATGCCCAAATTAGACTAGCAGTGGGGGCGGGAAGCAGCTCCTAGAGAAGGAAATGGGTGGGGAGGACAGAGACGGAAGGAGCTGCCTTTTCCTTCCCACTTTTTCTGAAGGATCTTCCCAGGCCTTAAAAGCTGAGCATGGTAGTGGGGATGTAGATGGAATAGTGGAGGAAAAGCTGAGAAATTCAAGGAAGCCTGAGTTATTGGTAAGGTCCCAGAATTGCCATATCAAGAGCTATCTAATGTCTCCCCATGTCCTATATCCTGTGAGAATTCTGTGACCCTAGAGACCTTGATGAATCATGATAGCACGCACATCCCCGAGATAGCTACTGTCACCACCACACACAGCCTGCCAGGACCAGCCCAGCTAGCCAAGCCTGGGGCCAGGAGTGCCCAGGAAATATCCTTCAAGCCCAGAGTGATACCTCACTGTAGGGCCAGATCTGATTAGTGACCCTAAGCTTATTGCTGGTTCCAAACTGAAGAAGACTTCAAGAATTCTGGCAACTTCTGATTCTGAGGCTCACTCCTACAGGGGCAGCTGTGGCTGGAGTGGGGCTGGACCGTCCCTGGGGGGCTGGAGGCTCTCAGAACTCTGGTGGTGTGCAGGATTCAACTTCTTAATAGCTTTGCAGCTCTGACCCCAATATTTTGGTGACTTGGGTAGTATTTTGATGACTTGGGAGTTAGAGAAAAAAGGAAAATAAGAAATGGGGTGTGTATGTGTACTCTATCTTCCTAATGCTCAAACAGGGAGTCAGCAAATAGAAATGTTACGACTGGAGAGGGATGTTCTTGTGCTAACAGAAGTGCTTTTTCAATATGAACACTAGAAATCACGCATGGCAGTTAGATCAACATGCATTTGCCAAGAGAGACACGTGGTAGTCAAAATCATCACCAGGAGTTTTCCTGACCTTTAAAAATTAACACCAAGGCTTTCATTCTCTGCAGGTCCTCAAGCATGTTTCACATAATGAAGCACAATCACTACGTCTCCCGATTCGGCAGCAAACTTGGGTTGCAGTGCATCGGCATGCATGAGAATGGCATCATATTTAACAATAACACAGATGTCTGGAAAGTAGTTCGACCTTTCTTTACAAAAGGTAATCAGGTGCCAGGCTACATTCTGCTCTTGTCTATGAATGTGCCCTTTATTTGGAAATCATTCTTAAATTCTGCTGCTTCATGTTTTGAAATAATGATACGAGCTAATATGCATTATACATTTACTATAGAGTAGGCACTGTTCTAAACACTTGATATTTTAATTCCACAGCAACCCCAGGTGGTAAAGCACTCTAATCACCTCTACTTTACAGATGAGAAAGCTGAGGCATAAAGAGGTTAAGTCACTTGCCCATGATTACAACATTAGTAAATGTGAGCCCAAGAGACAACCCCAGAACCTACACTTAATCACTGCAAATTCTGTTCCTCTTGTTAATTCACAAAGCAATTTCATGGATGTAAAGAAGATATGGAGCTTTAAACTCAGGATCATTTAAAAAATAATTAAGTGTATCTGCCATATGTTTAATTTAAACATAGCAAACAACATGTTTGCTGAACCATTGACTGACATCCCAGATGTTTTAACAGAAAGCAATTTGTGAGTTACATTAGAGAATTTTAGAACTGGGAAGGACTGTATATATCACCTTATCCAGCCTCTGAGTTTTATAGCTGAGGTTTCCAGTCCTAGAGAGGTTGTGATTTTTGTCCAACATAGAGAGTAATGGATGAATGAGCAGAGACCTCATCGCAAGCCTCCTTATCTAGTGAGTTCCTCCTTTACCATATTCTGCTGGAAATGAAGCTGTTGGGGGATATACATGACCAGACGTTGGCATTAACATCAAGGAACATAATCGTGCCTTGGAGATGTTGCCAGTGAGGGAAATGGGCTAGCAGATTTCAGGGCTGACTGTGCACTGTCAATGTTCTTTCCCCAGTCAGCCTTGTAGTGAACCTAGGTGCCTCCTGTATGTCTGCTGAGAAGGGGAAAAGCTATGCCTATTCCCGCTGGGTGCTGGTTCCCCTCTGCAGAGTTGCTCATTACCAAGACTCAGCACAACTCTCCTGAGACCCTGTTGCATTAGTTTCCTATGGCTGCTGTAACAGATTGCCACAGACTTAGTGGCTTAATACAACACATTATCTTCCAGTCCTGTATGTCAAGTCTGACATGGGTCTCACTGGGCTCAGACCAAGGCATTAGCTGGGCTGTGTTTCTTTCTGGAGGCTCCCCGGGAGAATCTATTTCTTTGCATTTTCCAACCTCAGAGGCCATTCACATGATGTGGCCTATGGCCTCTTCCTCTGTCTTCAAAGACAGCAGCAGTGGGTTGAGTCCTTTTTCTATCACGTCTCTCTGAACCATCCTTCTGTCGTATCTTTCTGACTCTGACCTCAGCTGAGAAAGGTTCTTCGCTTTAAAGGACTTCTGTGATTAGATGGGCCCACCCAGATAATCCACAATATTTTCCCCATCTCAAGCTCTTTCATTTAATCACACTTGCCACATCCCCTTTTCCATGTAAGGTAACATGTTAATAAGGTCCGGGGATTAGGGCCTGGACAACTTTAGGGGACTATCATTCTGCCTACTATTTATATTGGGGCAGATAAATCCTCTTATGCCTGACAAAACTGCCGAACAGATTAATGAAAAGAGTATAGGGTTTAGGATTATAGGTTGTGGGTTTGATTCGCAGCTCTGCCGCTTCACTAGCCATATGATCTTGGACAAGGCACTCAGCCTCTCTGAGCTTCAGTTTCCTTCTCCATAAAAAGTAACAAGCACTATAGAACTTGAATTCTAGAGTTATTATGAAGAATAAATGAAATAGTACTGTAAGATCCTACAGAAACATACGTTTCATTTTACTTTGTCATTTGGTCCAGTTGTATTAGGAATATGTGAATAAGTATTTAGGAACAATAAACTATCATATACCTTTACTCTCTATTCTGACATGCAAGAATCAATAGAATCTCTAAACTCATCCATTTAACAAACTACTGTCTTCATGTCATTGAACTAGGTGCCCAGAACACAATGAGAAACAAAATATGGCCTTGCCTTCAAGGAATTTATAATGCGGAGGGTGCAAAGTGGCCACTTAATACCTCACCAAATACCACCCTCAATGATGTGTTCCAGTAGAGGGGTATAGAGAGTGTACAGAGCACAGACCACTGGGTCATCTAAAGCACACTGAGAGGTCAGGGAAGGATTTTCAGAGTGTATGCTTATGGTGAGTTTTCAGAGAAGGTAAAATTTTCCTGACTTAAGGAAGTGTGATGAGGACACATTCCACAGGAGGGAAAAACGGGATACTCCAAGGCAGAAAAGGATAGATTAGCATGCCCTTTCCAGGGAATTGTAAGGAGGCCCCTGGACCTTGCAATGGATACATGCCTGCACATATTCATGCAAGGTGTGAGGCCAAGGGGAAGGTGGGGCGGCCACCAAAGACTCCTGTGCTAAGGCAAGTAGCCGAACATATTTCAGAAACTGCAGGAAACTCTTCAAGATTTTAAGCAGGATGACATGAACATATTCATGTTAGAAAATCTGTTCTGGTAGCAGAGTGAATGATGAACAGGAAGGAAGGATGACTGTGAGCAGTGAGAAGAGTTAAGAGCTACAGCAGAGACACAGGGCAGATGGATGGAGGGGAGGGCACTCCTGTAAGCGAGGTAAAAAGAGTAGAATCCACAGTCCTTGTAAGTTAATAAAAAAGTCTTTGTGACTTTTTAAGGTTAGCCCCATCTATGGAATATCAGATTTTCTAATGAAAACATTAAAAAATTATATGCAAATTAAATGCCAAAAATAGAGGGCTAAGTGTTCATTGAAAATTCACTGCTGTTTGTGACACCTTTAATCATCAGTGAGAGCCCCACACATTTCTTGATGAATCTTCTTTTAGGGTTGGACTTCTTGGTGGTTTTTCTGATATAGCAGAGAGTTTGGGATAGGCTTTATTATCTAAAGTCGTATATTAGTGAAGTTATTGACTCACTGGGTGTGTCTATGGGGAAACAGTTCAGTTCAACTCAGGGGAAGCCCATGCTGGGGGTGAAGTGGGAGGGCCAGGACACAGCCTGTGTTTCCTGGAACTGCCGCGAGAACCGTCTGTATTGATGGTTGCTTGCTCAATTACTGATTACGTGCTCAATTTTTCTAAAAACTGGATAAAACTCAGTACTTTTAAGCAGACCGCAAAAATTAAAGTCATATCTACATCATACCACTACCTATCAGCAATTATATTTTATTTGTTTGAAATTTGGCTTCAACCTCTTGGACGTAGAGGCAAATCATACACCAGCCAGGGAGAAAACCACCAGTGATGTTCAAAGCCAGTGCTTAAAAGCAAAGTGTTGAGTCATTAGGGAATTATTTGCCCCACTGTGGATGTGATGGTCACCCAGGGAACAACACCCTGGCCTCTCATATCTGCCAAGTCCTTCCTACAGTCAGGAAGTATGCCACCAACCCAGCCTTTCTTTTTCCACATAAATAGAAATCTTAAGAGTCTAAGACCACTCACCAGGCCTTCTTCCTTAATTTGCAAAGTCTTCCTTCAGGGGCTTCTGCAGCTGTTTTTTCATATATTTTTAAAAGAAAGAATATGCCTACAAAATTCCCCAGTATTATTCCTTGCATTCCAAGGACTCTAACAGCAAGTCTGAATAGTAAAAAAAAATATATATATATATATATATATATATATATATATATATATATATATATATATATATATGATTACTCTAAAGCTTAAACTTAGAGCAAAGAAAAAAAGGGGAACTTTCAAGGGAACCTTTCACAATGGACCACCTACCATCAGAAGCAACTAGCTGTTCAGATGGTCAGGAGCAGAGCAAAGGGTAAGATCAGAAGCCAGTTCACTCTACCTGTTTTCATTCATTCATTCACTCATTCATCCATTCATTCATTCCTCCATTGGACAAATATGTTTTGAGGTCCACTATGTACTATGGACTTGAAGTATAGTGCTCATGGGAGGTTGTCACTGCCCTTAGAGAAGTCCCAGTCCAGTGGGGAAGACTGCTAAGCAAACCAAGAATTGCTTAGCTGTTATGAAATTGGTTGAGTAAAATAAATCCAGAAACAGTTTGAAGAGAAACTACAATAAAGAGAAGGGCACTTTTAGTAACTTATAAGAGTAGCATTTTAAACATATAAACTACAGTTAAAAAGGAAGCACCTTAGATAAAATAGTTAAGGTCCAATTTGACTAGTTTTGTAGCAATATCCTGCCACCTGTTGAAACATAAAATAAGTATCACCCTAAACCTTTTTTAGAGGAAAATATATACAGTAAATATGAAAAAAACACACTGGTTTGTGACCACAGCACTAAATGTTTCACTTGCAGTCTTACAAATGATTTGCCAGAGCATGAAGAAAAGTTTAATTTTGAACAGTTTGTTTACAATAAAACTCATTCATGCATTTTTAATAGGAAAGGTGATACATTCTTATAGAAAATTAGGAGAATAAGAAAAGTATATAAAGAATACGAAAATGCCACCCAGTTATGGAGTAAAAAATTGTGGACGATTAAGCTCTCAAAAATAAAAAGTCAAAAGCAGCCGATTGTGTGCGTGTGTCCCCAAGTTCAGGACGACTCACTCTTTGCTGTGTTCCCTTCAGCTCTGTCTGGCCCTGGGCTCGTGCGCATGGTGACAGTTTGTGCTGAATCCATCGTAAAGCACCTGGACAGGCTGGAGGAAGTCAGAAATGAGTCGGGCAGCCTCAACGTGCTGCACCTCATGCGGTGCATCATACTGGACACCTCCAACATGGTCTTCCTGAGGATCCCCTTGGATGGTACTGAAATCTTCATTCTTATGACTTAACATTCTGCCCTTTCTGAACAAGGGGACGAGAGGGAGAGTAGACTCAAGTAAAAAGATTGCTGTTTTCTACATTGTTTTTCTTTCAACATCTCTAAGATTTCCCAAGATTTTTTTCCTAGTGTGTCTGCCTTGTTCACTTATAAGATATACATTTCTGTAAAGCAGTGGACCATCTATTTCTTTTATAAATCTTTTCATTGCTCTAGGATATAGAATTCTACCCACAATCAAAACTCAATAAATGTGATCAGTTTGGTTGGTCATTAATATAGGCTCCCATCAAACACACTGATATATTTAACCATCTTCAACCATCTTTTGGGGCATGATGTATACACACACATACATACATATATCTACATACATATGTAGATATAAATACACTACATACACACCCCTCCCTCAAGACTCTCAGTGTGAAAATCTGTACGATGATGACAGTGCTACTTGCTGCTGCAGGAATCAGTCATGATCGCTGCCATTAATTTAGTGTCTACCATGTATCAAGCAGTATAAAAAGCTGTTTTACATATAGACTGCCATTAAGCATTTTAAAAAAGATTTTATTTATTTTTAGAGAGGAGAAGGGAGGGAGAAAGGGAGAGAGAAAACATCAATGTGTAGTTGCCTCTCGCACACTCCCAGCTGAGAACCTGGCCTACAACCCAGGCATGTGCCCTGACTGGGAACCAAACCAGCAACCCTTTGGTTCTCAGGCTGGTGCTCAATCCACTGAGCCACACCAGCCAGGGCTGCCATTAAGCATTTTAAACAATGCTGGCAAGATGTCTTACTTAAGATGCTACTTTCCTCACTATGCTATAGAAGCAAAAATTAAAACACATACATGTAATTCTGCCACCACCTAAACACAAACATTAATCACTGGGATTAATTCCATTTTGCTGTTGTCTAGCTTCATGTAATTTTTACTGAATTAATTTCTAGCAGCAATCATTGATTCATATATCCTTTTAACAGACATCTATTGATTGCCTATTTATGCAGGAACTGATATAGGTTCTGAGGACAGAGCAGCCAACAAGGCAGACAAAGGTCCTGCTTTTAGGGAGCTTACATTTCAGTGGATATACAGACAGTAAAAGTGTGTGTGTGTGTGTGTGTGTGTGTGTGTGTGTGTGTGTGTGTGTATTTACTTGTAATATATAACAAGTAATATTATTTTGCCTATAATATATTAAGTGATAAAAAGTGTTTTGAAGAAAAATCAAAGCAGGGCAAGAGGACAAAGGGGGGTGAGTGGGAGTGGATGGGGCCCTCACGGAGGGGGTGGTCAGGAAAGGGCCCTGCAGAGAGGACGTCTGCCTGTAAGTCTAAACAAGGTGAGGCCACAAGCCACGTACAGTTCGGAGGGAAAGCATTACAGACGTCAGAACAAACCAGCTGAGCTCTAACACCTGCTGCCTGATGCACCACATTTGAACAAATAGACGAGCTCTAAGACCTCCCTTTCTCTTCTCAGTTCTCCTTGCCTCATCTCCCCTGCTCTTCAATTAGTCCTCACGAGAGCCATAGAAGCCTCATCTGATTGCCATTTGGATGGGAGCTTCCATTCGCTCTGAGGAGTTCAGTCACACCCTCTTCCCCGATCCCCTTTCAGACAGGGGCTCCAATCCCAGCTTGCCTGTTCTATACACATCTTTCCTCAGGTTAGGCAGGTACATATTTTATAGGTCCCTGCTCCTTGGTTCCCTGCTAGCCCTGATTCTTAGGAAGGACCATGTAAAGGGAATTATAATGTCTCTGTTAACTCTTGGATACACACTGTGATGCTAAGAACCTGCATAAGTCATGCACAGTTATTTTATTTCCCTCCTCCTCACCTGGTCCTTGATAAACTCTGTTTGCCTAAGGGACCCAGTGCAACGAAGAGGAAGGGACATTGTCCTGAGATCAGGCAGAACTGGGCTCCAGCCCAAGGGCCTGACTGCCACACTGGCTGGATGGTATTGGGCGAGCTTCTCAACTTCTATGAATTGCAGTTTCTTCATCTGCCAAATGATGATACGATCACTCCCCTAGCAAGATTGTAAGGATCAAATGAAGTATTTGCAAAGCATGCTGCATGGTGGCTGGTATTTAGCAGTTGAAAATAATGTTTATTTCTTTCCCTTTTGTATAATTCAGAAAAAGCAGGGGTTTTCTCTTTTCCAATTTTCAATTTAATTAAAAAACATTTATTAAGAGCTGACTATACATGAGGCTCAAGACAAGTCATTGAAGATACTAAAATGAATTTTACATTCTAACTGAATATAAATATGAAAGCTATGTGATGAGTGCTATGAAAATTATGAATAAAGCACTATGAGGTAAGAATACAAAAATGGTATTAATTAGGTACATAATACAAGTAAATTATTCACTAAATGGGTCTCCTCACTCGACAGAAAATGAAGTTAAAATCTGGCTGTCAGCTGCCCACCAAGAGAGTGGCATGGCTCGTTGCCCTCCTGGGTGCCAGAACTGAGGCCACAGCAACCATAATACTAATGTCCCTCTTATTCCCCACTGTCCAGAAAAACAGGAGAGACATGGATGTTCAGCCAAAGAACGGCATGTGAGATTCTAGGCTGTGTCTCTAACACAAAGTTGGAAACTGGCAAATCTTTGATCAGCTCAGCCAATTTAGATGCCGGGCAGAATAAATTAGTGTTGATTTGTCTAGTGGCAATAATGCAGCTAAAACACCAACTGGAGGTGGAACCTCTCCTAGCTCAGAACCCCAGACTGGTAGGTATCTTTTCTGCTCAGAGTACTCTTCTTAGGCTCTTTTTGCTCAATTGCTCTGCTGTTTGTTTGTTTGTTTTTCCAGAAAATGCCATCGTAGTTAAAATACAGGGTTATTTTGAGGCATGGCAAGCTCTCCTTCTCAAACCAGACATCTTCTTTAAGATTTCTTGGCTCTACAAAAAGTATGAAAAGTCTGTGTAAGTAACAAATTTGGAAAATTTTTCCGTGATATTGGGTTGTTTTTTTATTGTGTCTTTGCTATTGTTGGCCTCTTCAGCAAGTTCTCTGCACACTAGAGCCCACAAGGGAGATGTTGATCAAGTTGCTGATGTAACACTTTCTACATCAATTTGGCTGAACGTGGCTGAACCAGAGAGTAAGGAAGCCTTTGGCCAAGGCAGCTTCTCAGCAAAGGGGCCAAGTGGGTGGTCTGAGCGCTCCATACCTGCAACTAAAACACTGCAGTGTACTTTGAGTTGAACAGAAGGGCTGGCTGAACGTGTCATTATTATCTGTCAAAATTCTCTTTGCATGTCAGAAAAATGGAAACATGGAATCCATTTTATAATTGTATTGCTTCTGAGTAAATTTAACTTAATTCAACTTATAGAATTGACTGTAGTCTCAGAAGAATTTTTCATAGTGAACATAATGGACTTCAATAAAATGTATGGGTTTTTTTGTTTGTTTGTTTTTTAGTTATATATCTTGTATCTTTGAGGATCCAGAAACCATCATTAAATGTCTTTTCTTTGGTCTAAGACTAGCCTAGCTGAAAACTGGACAAATATCCAATGGCCTTAGGTAATCAATGTTTGTTTTTAGTGTAAGTAGCCAGCCATTAAACACTGCCCACTCTAATCATCAGTGGAAAGCCCATGTGATCTAGAGGCAGACAGATGTGGTTTGTAGCCTGTCTCTACCACTTGGTAACTAAATGGCCTTGGGAAGTTATTTAAAGTGAAAAGAACCTGCCTTCCAGAGTAGAGATATAGGTTGATGAGATCCTATATGGAAGGCAATTAACACAGATCCTGGACCATAGTAGGCACTAAATACGTTAATTTTTCCCTTCCCTCTGTTCATATTTTCCCCCAATGTTCTTGACCATCTTAAATTCTCCATCTCTAAAAGTTCCCAACTTTATCCTGTTTCTGTATTTTTAATTCTATAGTATTAGTCTCCAGGGAGGAAACCAACTTGATGTTGCTTTATATTTTTTCATATGGTTAATGAGTATTAAGTAGATGTTTGGAGACTTTGTTTTTATACATTTCATTTCATTTCTACCAGAGATTGTTGATTCAAGAATCAATGAGATAAAGGATTGATCACTTCACTGAAGTCAGATTTGGTCATGGTTCTTGGTTATTAGTTTATCTTTGGTCTTGGCCAGCAGGCCCATAGAAACTTACTGCATGCAACTGTGTAACAGTTTCTCTTAGGCTTCTGTGGAAATAGCTTAGCAATATTCTCTCTATATATAACATTTGTCAATGGTTAGTGCACTAGTTTATATCTCCTATGTCATAGAGCAGTAAAGACCTAGAGAAACCCTTTAATTTCTTCCCCTCTATGCCCTTGCAATAATGCTAATATTTGTATTGAGGTATAATTGACATATACCATTATATTAGTTTCAGGAGTGCAACACAGGGATTTGGTATTTGCATATATTGCAAAATGATCACCACTATAAATCTGGTTAACATCTATCACCATAGGTATTATAGTTAAAACTGTTTTTCTTGTGATGAGAACTTTTAGGATTGAGTCTCTCCTTTTTTTCTTTTTTCTTTTTTTCTCTTGACAACTTCCAAATATGCAAAAGGTATTATTTATTATTTATAGTCATCATGCTATATATTACACACCCAGGACTTAATTATTTTATAACTGAAAATTTATACCTTTTGACCACCTTCATCCATTTGTCCATTTCCCCACCCCTGGCAGCCCCTAATCTGTTCTCTGTATGTATGAGCTCAGGTTTGTTTTGTTTCATTTTTAAGATTCCACATATAAGTCAGATCATACAGTATTTGTCTTTATCATGCTAATACTTTAAAAATATACTTATGAAAAGGATTCTCAAACATCTATTCCCATCCTTATTTATTCAATTTTATATTTTTGCTTTTTTTAATACAGCAATGTTGTTTTCTACTTTTTATTTTGGCAAGTATAAAGCTTCTCAGTCACAGTACTGTAAGTAGGTGTCTGTATTACATTTAAGGTAATACAGAATGTTGTTCCCTGAGATTGAGGAACAACACACTTACCCACAAACACATACACTTAAAGACAAAGCCAAGAATAACCGACTTTAGATCTCAAGGTGGACTCATCATTCATCTAGTCTGATCCCTTTGCTTTAGAAGATACATAAGGCTCAGAGACTTAAAGTAAGTTGTGTAGAAAGAGAACAACTTGGACTAGAACCTGACCCTTTGTCCAAGGAGCTCTTCACTGCCCCACACTGTCAAAATGCCTATACAAATTAATGCAGCCATTCATTCACTCAACAAATATTTACTTAGTATTTATTATGTGGCAGACACTACAAGGTGTGAGAATAAATATCAAGATTAATAAACAGTCACTTGAGTTCACTGGGTAGAACAGAAATCTCAAACCCAATAGTCTTGAGGGCCGGGCAAATAAAAGTGTGCGGGGTGGACACAGACAACAGAAAGAGGAGGTACCTGTAGCAAACTGGAAAGTGCATGTCCCCACTAAAGACATTCACTGGTTTTGGTTTTGTTGTTTTTTATTTATACATTGTGTTGACCAAATAAAAAATAAGAAAACATGATTGGACTTGGCTTTTCTACCAGTTTTCAACCCTTAACTGGAGGTTACAGCCTTGATTTTGCTATCCATACCTAGAAACTCTGGTTCCTTAACATGAAGTATAACGTATATGTAACGTAAGGATATCTGTGTAACATATATGTAATGCAAGGATATTTAATACTTAATATCCTTCATATAAGGATCTTAATATCCTTAATATAAGGATATTAAGTATAAATTCAGTTATTCATAAGCACTAATGGTTTCAATTAAAGCAGATTATTTTTATTTAAGCAAATGACAAATGAATCCATTTTTCTATACGTCTTAACTGAGTCCAGATAGATTGTATTTTTATTTCTTTTTTTCCAGCAAGGATTTGAAAGATGCCATGAATATTCTGATAGATGAAAAAAGACACAAGATTTCCACAGCAGATAAACTCGAAGACAATTTGGATTTTGCCACTGAGTTGATTTTTGCCGAGGTACTGACCTGAACTAACCATACTTCCCACACAACAAATGTGTATGACTGCTTGGGTGTAGGTGTGTCAAGATTTCCTCTTGTGATCGTATTGCTTATTTCTGCTTTTCAGTATCTGCTCCAGGTCTTCTATAATGTCCAACTCAAATGGCCTATTCTTTAGGCATTCTGGTTGAGACCAAACTTTAAGACTGAAGCGACTCTGTGTCTGCAAAATACAAAATATGAAAACGGTGGAGTCCAAAGACTAAGTACATAGATAATTTGTTATTAATAGTTCAGCTCTCAGCTGAAGATTATGAAAAATGTTCACGGTCAATTACAGAAACATGTCATTTTTGTGAAGTTCTTGACCCTTGAGCATCACCTCCCTTCCTTTTGTGAAATTTTGATTCACTTTTCCAAATTTTCTCTCTTTTCCATTATTCAGAAACGTGGTGACCTGACAAGGGAGAATGTGAACCAGTGCATACTGGAAATGATGATCGCAGCACCAGACACCATGTCTGTCTCTGTGTTCTTCATGCTGTTTCTCATTGCAAAGCATCCTAACATTGAAGAGGCATTGGTGAAGGAAATTCAGACTGTTATTGGTAAGAATTTATCAAATAAATAATAGAGGTAGAAAATAATTCCTTCAGAATATCAGCTTCTTATGTCCTAAGAATCTGACGTCAAACAAAATCTTTATTACAATCCACCCAGAGAACAAAAAAGCAAGGCATTTTGTCACACTTTCATATGCCAGATAGGTTAAAATATAGTTTTTTCTGTGTTTTATTTAATTATAAAAATAATACATGCTCATTGATGTTGACATTTCTCTCCTGACCTTGCACAGTCACTGTGAAACAAGTTATTTGGCTGTGGAAAGACACTATCTTTTATAAACCATTTCAGTGCTGCTTGGAATAGCTGACAGTAAATTAAACATATGAGAGAAGGGGTCTACTGATGCATTGCTGTAGGCAGGAAACTGCCTGCCAAGTGAATTAGCAAGGAGCCAGAATGGCACTTGGGCTCCAAGAGGGGGAAATTACTCTTAAGACTATATCTATTGGTACAATTTTCTTGAGAAGCAAAAAGTGTTTGTGCCTCATTACATCCCCCTGACACTTCAAAAGACCTCTGCAAAGATGAAAAAGCATGAGAACCATTTGCACATGTGTCCATGCTGCCTCTAGATACACACCCGTGGTAACTGCTTCCTAGGGAATGCCTTTGCTTACCTTCTCCGTCATTTTCCCTCCTTACCCCAGATAAACACACCCCATTACACCCTTAAGTGTACAAAAAACAGTATGTGAGGGGCAGGGCTGTTAAAATTCTCTGATCAAATGAGACCTTTCCTGAATGGCACAGTTGTACAGGAGACAGGTCTGCCTCAGGACCCTGGTCTGTTTTTGATTCTGCAAAGGTGGTAGCCCATTGGAGGATGCTCTGAAGCTTTACCAATTCTGGGAGTAATCTGAGCTTCTCTGACTGATGTCAGGCCAGTCTGAGACAGTGTGAGTGTCCTTCAATCCCCAGCACACTTGGGGCTGCTCTGAGGCACCATTTTGTTGTGGTAGGAGGCAGGGGTGGTTCTTGCTACTCTATCACAACAGGGTGTGTCCTGGGCAGATGAGCCATAAAGTACCCAGATGAGAAAATGTTACTGAAACTAAGGTCACTGTCTCATTTGACTGGAGAAGGAGTGAATGCCCCCCAGATTTTAGAGTAAGGGACAAAACTCTAAGACCCCAGAGGCCAGGCAGACAACTGTGTGAAGCGGATTAGGAGGTCCACATGAGACTACAGAGGGACTGCCCCTGCAAAGGCTCACCAACCACTCAGCTTCAGCCCATTGTCACCGTGTGGTGATGTGAGTCCAGTGTCTCCAGGTTTTCTAAATTTTTATAAAAATCCAGGCTTTTCTATAAAATCCCCCAGCTTCTATGATAATTGGCTTCAAACCTGAATTTTTATAAAATTCTCTGTAGGCCAAACGTAACACAGTTTGCCCAGGTTGCTGGTTTGCATTAGAATTACAAATACAAATTTTTTCCAACCAAGAACAAACTGTTCTGTGGAAACTACAGGAGTTTTAATGCCCACCACATGTTGAAACTCTTATTACCTGTTTGTCCTTTTTATCTTTTCCCACAGGTGAAAGAGACATAAGGATTGATGATATGCAAAAATTAAAAGTGGTGGAAAACTTTATTAATGAGAGCATGCGGTACCAGCCTGTTGTGAACTTGGTCATGCGCAAAGCCTTACAGGATGATGTTATTGATGGTTACCCAGTGAAAAAGGGGACTAACATTATCCTGAATATTGGAAGAATGCATAGACTCGAATTTTTCCCCAAGCCTAATGAATTCACTCTTGAAAACTTTGCCAAGAATGTAAGTGCCCTTCCTTAAAACCAAGTATGCCCCTCTTCAACACTTCAGTTGTTAAATCCTCTCTGGTTCTGTGTTTGTGCCACGCACATTTCATTCTATTTACTTCTTCCCTCCTGTAGCCTCACCAGAAATGCACATTTTCCCTAGTTTGGGTCATAGGTACCATATTTGTCCTCAAGCCAAGGATGCTGGGTTTCCAGCTGTAGTAAGTCATCTACATGGTGGCCACATGATAGGTCAGAATGTGAAAAAGTCGGGACCCGAATTTGACTAAAATGAGGTGAATTTTGTTTAGCTCAACCAACCTACTTTTCCATTTACAGTCACCACTTTGTAATCACGTAAATTCAGTGACAACAGTATCTAAGCAAAGGAAAGTCCACTTGTGCTTCAGATGGACATCAAAGGAGATCAAAAGACTTGGTGTTTCCAGTCTTCCTTCGGTTCACAAAACAGCCCCACAAGCACTAATTCCCATTCAAAATAGGACCTGGTAATTAGAAGGGCTTCAGTTTTTTTCTTTATTTATCAGTGAAATATACTGAAGATTCTGCTTCCCTTACGTCAAATTTTAGGCAATGATGTTTTTAACCTGTATTATCCAGATAGTTCCTTTAGTGTCTTCTTTTTCCATTGGCATGTGGTATAGAAAAATGACAATTAATCTGGTTCCCCAATTCTTTCTGTTTCTGTATAAGCAACCCATGCCACGCTGACAATTTGTCAGCAAAAACTTAATTGGGAATCAACTATGTGACAGGCACTATGTAAGTCCAGATGTAGGCAAGACGACAGATGTGGTACCCATTAATTTTTTTGCATAACTAAAAGTATTTAGATGCTGATAAATCAGGAATATACACCTTTCCCTAAATTTGTCCTTTGTCATTAAGTTATATGACATGAACAGTCTTTGCTTTGGTGATTTGCAGAATAGTAGTAAAGCTTTGGCCATCCCAAAGAGCTAGCTGAGTAACAATGGCTGTGATAAAATGGTCTGCATTGCTTTACCCAGCACATTTATATGAAAAGCAAAACTGGATACTGTCCAAGGTTGTATATGAATCAGGGGATGAATCAAACTGTGTGGAAAAAGGGGCTTAGCTGAGTTATAGTCATTCATCTCAGTAAAGTAGCAGTATGGCTGAGACCCCAAACCAGAGTATGCTGACTTACCACTATTTTCAGAGTAAATCAAACAGAGATTGTATGATTTTAGCTAATTGGCTTATTATTTTCATAGGTCCCTTACAGGTATTTTCAGCCATTTGGTTTTGGGCCCCGTAGCTGTGCGGGAAAATACGTCGCCATGGTGATGATGAAAGTCATCCTGGTGACACTTCTGAGACGATTCCACGTGCAGACATTGCAAGGTCAAGGAGTATCTATTGAAAAGATGCATAAGAAAACTAACTTGGCCGTGCACCCAGATGAGACATGCAACTACTTGAATATGACTTTTGTCCCAAGAAAATCAGACAAGTGCCACGAATGCTGAAGAAGATTGGTCAGTACCTACTCTGGAGCACTTCTAATCAGTAGTTCATCAGAAAATTATTCATCCTTGCCATAGTATCATCTTCATAGTGAACATTAGGTAGTGTATGACACTTTATAGGCATACCTCTTACAGGCTGTCAGCAAACTAGAAGACATCAGTCATCTGATTTTGTCCAAAACACAGAATCAAGAGCAAGAGAAAACACAGAGGTCAAGCGTTTGCAGGCAAAATGGTCAGTGAAAAACTGCAGCCTTAGAGGCCCAATTCCACAAAAGGTGTTAAAAAATAGGCCACCAGCAAAACTTATATCTGGTTGCCAATGGAATCTCCACTGCCCTGCCCCAAGAGCAGTTGAATATCTGGGGCAGAAGCCCTTCAATTGATTAGAAAGACCAGACCAACGTCTGGGTGCCTAGAGTTAAACACATCTGTTAGTGTAAATAAAAGTGTTTGATTTGGCTTTCAGTGGATTTAGGACTATAGTATTCATAGTCTTTGGAGAAATACAAATTCAGCATTTTACTTTTCCTATTAATTATATTCAATTGACTCTTGTTTATCCACATGTGACTTGTCTGCAGCAAAAGTTAAATGGAAAACTCCTTCCTCAGTCTTTCAATTCATGCCTCAGCCACTTACCTCTGCTATAATAAAGGTGTAGATTCAGGTAATACAAGCTAACTTAATAATTACTCAAGTAAAATATATAATTAGGACCATATATCTATTGTAGGAATTGAAAGTCACACAATGCATTTAAAACTCAAATTTTTTTCATGTTTGCATTGTTGCTTAGTTCTAGTAGTATGGCTAACCAAGAGATAACTTTAAATATGGCATCTAGTAACTCTTACAGCAGGTCCAGTGATTTGGAGGAAAAGAAGTCCTCTAAATCTTTATCTAATTCTTTAGCCCAGTAGATTCAAACTTCTAAGGAGTGCTACTCCCACAGCATTATCTTTCTCCCTTGACATTTCCCCCATCTCTTTCTATGACCCCAAAGCCAAGGGCAACAGATTAGTATAGAAGGTGATCAATGTAGAACCCCTGCAATCATAATTTATCCTACCTCAGATTTAATAGTCATTATGGAGATTAAACAATGGTATACTTTGTTGAATCATCACATGTGACCATGGATAAAATATATACCTTGTGAATTAGCTTGGTAGAGGGAATAAATAGATTAAATCTTTAAATACCATTTGTGTTATGATTATTTCAACTGAACGTCATTTAAAAGCTAAAAAATTAAACTCATTTTCAAAATGTAAGTGTTTGCCATTGAGTCAACCGCCACCACAACATTTGAATATTCTTTTCATCTTACCATTTGGCCATAGGACAACAGCTGAGCATAAAATGAAAGTGTAAGCTCCTTTAGAGCTCTTTTCTTTCTTTTGCAATCCTTCCCATATTTACTCTCAAGATCAGTACTGAACAGACAGCCTTGTTCATAGACACTCTCAACTGGCCCTAGAAACCAAGTAAAGAAGAGGCAGGCATTCCAAGAATTCAAGGATGGACATTAGTAAAGAAGGAAATATTTGAACTTAAAATTACTTAAATCATCTCTAGGCCCAAAAGTACATGCAAATATGCCTGTGTGCCTGGATATTTCTGTAGTCAGGTCTATAGACAATCATCTAAATAATTCAGATACCTGAAAGCAAGGCCAGGATTTTAGATTTCTTGTATCCAGGTTAAATCACTCAATTATTATTAACACATTGCATACGTTGTTCTGGCTGGAGCTGCATACTAGAGAAAATCAGACTAGATCAATGTACTTCACCTATCCAATTCCCTTGGAACATCTACTGCCTTTTATATGTTTCTATGTACCCAAGGCCTATGTCTATAGGGTCAAAGTAAAATGGAAGGTTGACACAGTTGTATCTAGAAAATGCCAATACAAAAACAGGCTGTGTCCTTTCCCTAGTGTGGACCTCAGTAGACCCATCCATAAATATGATTGCACCAGAGGTGCTCTAAGTCATTTCCAATGCTTTTGTTCTGTTATTATTTTGCTTCAGATACATAACACCATTTTCCCCTTTGTATCTAAGCCCTAATCACAAATTAAGTATACAAGACAATCTCATTTTCAGGTCAAACATGCAATTTGGTCACTGAACAGATGATCTGGGCATCCAGTGTGTGTCAACTGGCAGACTGTCAGTCCCCAAGTGCTAAAATGTCTGCATATGCTCTCACTTACTGCTGCAGGGGCATGAGTAAGTTTATGGAACACAGTTCATTCACAGATAGTCACTTTATGCCCTATTTGAACTTGTGAGCAAGCCAATGGATTCGCTGAAGCAAATAATCTTTTTTTTTTTCCTGAGCAGCCTTGGTTTCATACTCAAATCAACTGGATCACTAAGAGCTTAACAGTACCTTCATTCCCTGCTGAAATTAAGACTCTCCCTGGCCCCCAACACTTTCTCTCTGATAGGCTTGCCACCTTCCCAAAATGCAGTTTGCTGCTTTTACTACTCACAAAGCTCTAGAAACTACCAAAAAAACAGAAGTGAACTCCCACTTAGCAGAAATCCCTGCCCAAGATAACACAGGAGTGGCTGAGATAACCTTGTGTGTGGTCCTTGAGGCAAGTGTGAAGAGGAAGGAATTGTTATAAATCATTAGGGTACCACAACTGACAGCTGTTCACTCACCAAGTACTTACCATGAACCAGGTTTTCTCATTTAAACCTCACAGCAATCTTGCAGGGTAGAGAGTATTCCCCATTTTGCAGGTGATAAAACTGATTCTTCAAGAGTAACTTGCCCTACCCACTTAGCTAGAAATTTGAACCCCTCGTCTTTTTTTTTAAGATTTTATTTATTTATTTTTTAGAGAAGGAAGAGGGGGGTAGGGAGAGAGAGAGAGAGAGAGAGAGAGAGAGAGAGAGAGAGAGAGAGAGAGAGAGAGATCAATGTGGGGTTGCTGGGGGCCGTGCCCTGCAACCCAGGCATGTGTCCTGACTGGGAATCGAACCTGTGATGCTTTGGTTCCCAGCCCGCACTCAATCCACTGAGCTACGCCAGCCAGGGCGAACCCCCCATCTTATTCCAATGTCTATGATCTAACTAAAAGTGGTATTTGATCCTTTGTAACATCAAATATAATATAATGATAAGTAACTATACATTTTAATTAGTATAGGTATTAAAATTGGGGGTGGGGGTAGAAAATCAGGTATTAAGAAAACTGGTGAATTTTTGCTCCTATCCTAGCCCTGACTGGCCACTCAAGCATGAAAATAAGTTCAAAAACAAGGACTGGGGACTTTGGGCTGTCTCTTTAATCACCAGCCCAGGGTGGGTCAAACCAGTTATTTGATTTGACTATATTAAGGAGTCAAAGTCAATTGATCTATCTATTTTCTCTAGCCATTCATGTTTTTTATTCATCCATGTTTTTTATTCATCTCAGTGTCTGACACACAACACGAACTCAATAAATTTTTGGTGGATGAAGAATGGAAGAATCTTTGAGCCACTAAGAAGAGCAAGTTCTATTAAATTCACAAGAATAATTAGTTTCACATGTATACATTCTCAAACATGGTCTTTGCAGTCTACTAAATGCTGCTAAATAAGCCTAAGACAATGAATAAACTGGCTATGCATTTAGAACAACAACAACAAAAAACAAAACAAAACAGAGCCAGGCAGTGGGAGCTGGATAATCTTTCAGTCATTGTTACTGGAGAGGGTGCTTATACTCATCAGTGGTTGCACTAGATGTACCTTAGGACTCTGCCTGCAACTTGAGACTCTACAAGTCTATGAGTTGACATCCCATCTACAATCAAGTAGTGAGGATTTCAACACTTTCTAATGGAGGCCACAAAGTTGGTCCTATGGAACACACGTCAAAGAAGTCAACTTTCAAACTCTCAGAGTAATAATCAGTCATGTCCATAGGATCACAAATACATGGTATTTTGTGTTCAATGATCACACTTGATTACACCAATGACCAGGAAAGGTAACACTATGCATATTTGCAAGTTTAATAAATTTCCAAATAAATAAAAAAAGCACCTTTCATCCTATTTCAATGCAATTATTCCTGGTTCTCCTTCTTAGGTCTCATTCTAGTCTCTTTCAGTAGCCTGTATTGCTACTTCTCTAGATCTTTTGCAAGTCCTTCCACATGAGTCTTCTTGGTAGCCCCTTCCTTACATAGTTCCCCTTAGTTTGCCTCTGATCCAGTGCTCAGGGAACCGTGTCCGGTCTCCTGGCCCCAGACCTCCTGCTCTCTCCCTGCAGATCTGGTGTGTGTTTGCTTTTTGTCTTTCTCTTTCTTCTTCCTCTCCAGGTCTAGCAGCTATATTTTTCATATTTCCCATAGTTTTTCTAGACCTCTGTTGTCTCCTTACTTATTCTCTCACAATCCCCAGTCCCTTTCTGAATTGCTCAGAGCAAAGGTCAGTGGTTCAGTGGTTTCATGAGCCCTTTTATTCTGAGCTGGTGAAGCTGAAGTACCCACCCCACCCCCCTTAACACCATAGGCTCTTACTTAGATGAAGTGTGGCATTTCCTCCATGAATCAGTTTCCTCAAACTGCCATAACAAACTGGGAGTCTTCAAGTATGAGAAATGGATTCTCTCATTGTTCTGAAGACCAGAGTCTGAAATCAAGGCAACAGCATGGCTGCCCCCTCTTGGAGCCTCTAGAGGAGAATCCTTCCTCTCCAGCTTCTTCTCGGTACCCTTGGCTGTCACGTCCCTCTAATCACTGCCTCTGTGATCATGCTGCCTTCTCCTCAAACTGGCCTCTGCCTTTCTCTCATAAGAACATTTATCATTTGATTGGGGCCCATCCAGGTAATACAGGATGATCTCAAGATCCTTAATTTCATCTGCAAAAACACTTTTTCCAAACCGAGTCACATTCACAGGTTCCAGGGATTTAGATATGGACAAATCTTCTGGGGGTGGTGGCAGAGCATCATTCAGCACACTACCTGCCCCCACCCCAGAGTATGACTGGCAGTTGTCATTTTTCAGAGCAGTGTTTTCTAAACTTGGATGTACATCTGAGTTACCTGGGTTAGATGTGACACTGCTAATGCCGATTCAACAGGTCTGGGTGGAGTCTGAGATTCTGCATTTCTAACTAGCTCCCGGGTCACACTGATGCTGAGGTAGGTTGTCCAAAGTGAGTGCAGAGTTTGCAATGGTCTGGTTCACAGAGCAGCAGCAGCACCTGGAACCTCATTAGGATGGCAACTCTCAGGTCCCACCCACACCTGCTGAGTTTGAATCTCTACTGCAACAGATAGATCCCCAAGTGCTTTGTTTGCTTGTTAAAGTTCAAGTAGCACTGATAAAACTAGAAGGTTTTCCTTCCTAGTATATACCCAACACTCGTCCCACCATACTCTGCCCTTGCCCTATGGAATCTTCAGCCTGGTTTGTTAGGGCAGATCTTCAGTTCCCTGCATGGTGGCAGTTTCCCTGAGGCCTCTGAGGGGAAGCCCCTGGAAATTAACCCCATCCTCTCTCTTGCACTCAGTTCTATTGCACCAATAGCC